TTGGTATGTGTCAAAAAACGTGTAACTTATTCAAAGTGATAAATAGGTTTTAAACAACTCTTTTCACAAATATATTGGAAACGGCTGTGTCTTAAAGAAATTTTCCAATAGGTGTATAATTGAGATAAGAGGCATTTGTCAATAATTTGTTAATGAGTTTAGATTTCACTTTCAAACTACTGACATTTATTCTACTATGTTGATTTATTTTTACCATTGGAAATTTTCTACAGAAAAGTAAAGCAATATTTCTTACTAAACACCATAAAAGTAAATCACATAGGATGATGTATATATTTTGGTGCCATGCAGGTTTATATTTATTTAAAGGATAATTTCTATCATTTGCAAATGTTTTAATATTTTGCTGAAAAGAAACAAAAGTGAAGAATGAATAGTATGAAAAACAAAACAATTCTAAATACAAAACAAGTAAATCTAGAAGGTAATAAAAGGGACTGAGTCACATTTAGCAAAAACAAAGAAAGAATCCTAAATAAAGCTTTTTAACACGATAATATGATGAAAACGAATCATAAAGAAACCATTTTCTCAAGTCTGTGCTAGAATTATTTCATAACTTATGTGATTTTTCCTACTCTAAGCAGTTCATTTTTCAAGTGCTCCTATAAAATATATCAGGAAGGAGGACATAAGAAAGTGATACAAACTGCATTAGCCAAAGCAAGATTTCATCTCTTACAAAGAAAAAAAAAAAAAAAGGAAAGAAAGAAAAGAAAAAGAAAGTCCTTACATTTCTTATGAATAATCTTTTTTATGAAGAAACTTCATTTTAAAGTAATAAATTTTCTGTTACCCTGTTTACTTCCAATGACCAATATTCAAAAGATCAAAAGAAACAAAAAGATAAAAAGAGTTTCTATGTATAGTCCTTTGTGTTTTAGATTATTTTACATACTTTATAGGTACATGCATAGGTAGGTAGATTTTTCTTTAAACATTTAGTGCTCTCTCTCTCTCCTTTTTAAAGAAATTTTACATCACCAAATGACAGCATTCATTTCTCATTAGGCAAAAAGCATGTTCTTATTTTGCCAACGTGGGCGCATTCTTTAAGAAGACTCCAATTTAAAAAACAGAACAGAGATTGAGTATTTACTTTATAAAGATTGATCAGAATGTAAGAAAAAAAGTGTCAAATGATCACCTTAATGTGTTAACTCCTTCTAGTAAACTGTTTTTTTTTTACAAAATTTGGTAACATGTTGAGGTAATAGAAACTTAATGACTATATTCAGCAAAGAATCCCAGTATAATTATACTTGTTCTTGATTATTCATTATAAAACAGATAAAATGTACTTGCAATCACCTTGTTGCAATGCAATTTTACTTTTGATTTTGGATTTTATATAATTACAGGCTAAGACCAAAAAGTATAAAACATAATTAATATTGTTTTCCTTTTTAGCATCTTTGGAATTTGATTTTTAGATACTTGCCTCAACATCAATTCTGAGAAAGTTTAATAAATTTTTAATAAACTTTTACAAATTGTATGGGATAGTAATACCCCATATTAGAATGTATAAGAAAAGTAGTTGTATCTTTCAAATAATATTGATGATATTTTTAAATGAATATCAATCATAAAGAGAATAATCAAAAACATGACTGAAACTCGCCTTTCAACAAGAGTAAGATGAAAATGCATCTAATGTAAGAAAAGATGGGCACATATTTCCAAGGTGAAATATCTTTTAAACTAATGAAGTTACTCAAATGTTCTCTGACAATTAATGTAGTAAAATATACAGGGATTTTTATAGATCTTTTCTTTTTCTTCTTCTTTTTTTTTTTTTTTTAAGATAGGGTCTCCCTCTGTTACCCAGGCTGGACTACAGTGGCACGACCACAGCTCACTACAAACTCGACCTTCCAGACTCAGTCCAATAGCTGGGACGACAGGTGCATGCCACCACACTCAACTAATATTAGTAATTTTTGTAGAGATGAGCTTTCATCATGTTTCCCAGGCTGGTCTCAAATTCCTAGGCTCAAGCAATCCACCCAACTCAGCCTTCCAAAGTGTTGGTATTACAGGCTTAAGCCACTATGCCCAGCAATAAATCTCTCATTCTACCATTGTAACTTGTCATTCCATTTTTGAAAATTGTTTATTTTATTAATTTTTAAAAATATGTGAAGATTCTCTATAACATTTTATTCATAGTGGTCATTAATTGCCAGAACAATTACTAAAATATTTGTACTAAAATATTTGAAAATATCTTATATTTGAGCATGAAATGACTCGGCAGACATTTTATTCAATGTCTTCTATAATTACAGCACCAATTTCCGAGGTGCTTAAAATGATTGTATCTTAAAAATTCACAAGTTTGTATGTTTTATTATCTGACAAGTATTAATTCCATATTAAGCTACTTTTGTAATGTGAATTTATAAGAAGCATTTAAAGCAATCATACAGAAAATGTTTAATCTACTTAAAAATTACAGGTGTTGTACTATAATATTTTCATATGCCTAAAACATTTAGAAAAGACATCCACAAATATATAAACAACTGTGAATAATTAAATATTAATCAGTATATATTAACAATGATAGTTTCCTTAATAAACAAAACAAGAGTCAATAGTTATTACTAACTTCTACTAGTTCAACTAAAAGGATTATTTCCCTTCAAATCAACCAATTTTATTGAGGAATAGTCCTTTTTTATATTAATGTCAACTAATAATTATACCTTTCACTTATTTATCACTTCACAAGGTTTACAGAGTGCTTTCCATGCATAATAAATATTTTTCAGACAGTTATATCTTGGTATAGATAACAAAGACAAGTTAAACATTTAAAAACACATAAGCTATAGCAAACTCATCTACAAAATGTTGCAGATTCAAAAAGATTTTAAATATCAGATGTCTCTATTGCATCTTACAATGATTCTACATAAACTCTATAAAATTTAATTTCACTTAAATTTCCAAGAACTTAGCGTATTTTTCTCAAATAGACACAATCACATGTGTTTCACTGGAATCGGTTTCAAAAACAGGAAATTGAATATGGTATTATTTTAGGGGAAAGCCCAGTGGACTTGTAACATTCCAAGCTATCACGGGATAACCTCATGACCTAGAGACCAACATTATTATACTGCTTGCCACCTGGGCTGAGATATGTGGAATTACATGGAGAAAGTCCAAACCTTCAACTATCTCTTATTATTAAACTTGCTGAGACCACAGGCTAAAATGTCTAAATAAAGAATTAATGAGGACTAGTTATTAATTGCTCATCATTAGATAGTCTCCAAGACTCAATCCTTGGTCTTCAGCTTGGGAGACTAGAACCTTCAGTCAGGGCAGCTGAGATCTAGGGAGTACCAGCATAGAGTGAACACCTGCGTCTCCTGAAAGAAACCCTGGATCTCACTTGCCCCTTCCCTGCTACTGTCCAAAGCAGAGGAACCATTTACAGGTGTAGTTACAGAGCACAATCACAAAGCAGCCCACACCTACGTGAGCAAACCTACAAAGACCACACCCCGCCTGCTGAATTTACATCTATTTGCTTTTCATGACTAGCCAGAGGAATCGGCTTCTCTAGGAAACATTCCTGGATCACCATCCCTTACCTCTGCTTTAGCTGTTACCCCTATATACAACCGTGTGCTTCATCCAGTTAGCGCAGGTAGTGACGTAGTTACATTTGTATCTTGAACATTACAATGTAAAATTCCTTCAAACACAGATGATAATGATTTTACTTTTATGTTCCCAGGCCCACGCCAAGTGCTAGCATATAGTAAGTGCTCAGTAAATGTTTGTTGAATGACGCTACCACTGCCACATAGGGCACGTTTGCCATGTTAATGATTTGGAGGTGAGGAAAAGACCCAATTGGAAGAGACCAGCAGCACGTAATGAAAACGCCATGATACAGTCTCCTTAATGCCAGCATGAATGCAGTTTTTACAGCATCAGAAAATATCTTTCAAACCTGTCACCATGGACTAAATAAAATCTTTGTAGGCCTATGCAGGAAGACAATATATCATTTTTTATAATGATAACACTTAAAACCAAAGAATCTCATGTTTTAACAAAAACTTCAGAAAATGGCCTATAGTTTTCTGAGATTCCATATTCTATATGTAAAATGTGTTTAAGGCTTTCAAATAATTATATTATTTATTCTCTTTCTAAATAAAACACAATAGTATATTGTTATGGAGTATTTAAAAATTATACTCTTTATTTTTAACAGAATAATTGATACCACTGACTTAAAAACTCACTGTTTTATATGTGGATCACTCTGAAATAACATTTCATTTTCTTCCTTCAGAAAAATGATGTTCCAAAGAGAAGTTCAGTTTAAAAATATATATGAAGAGATTTCTGATGATGCAAAAACATACACATACTACATTAAAAATATAAAAAGATATCTTACATATGCAAGATTAATAAGGTTTTCATGAAAGTAACAGACCTGAAGAAACTTTGAAATCTCTGCAAACGTTCCTGTCATTTATGGAAAACATAAAACACTAATTTACTATCTGTCCCTTTCAACTTTATTCTATTTTTCTAAAGCATCCTCAAAATAACAGGGGGACATTTTGGGGTGAGAGCTGAAATATGTACTTTGGGTATATTTTATAGACAATAGATGTAAACAAGGCAATTATCAGAGATTAAAGCAGACAGACTTGAATTTTGATCACAGGTGCACACAGAATAAAGCTTCATTACGTAGTCAGAAGGCAAAGGGCAGCACACACAAAGCACAAAATACAGTCTAATAAATATTCACATGCTTAGGGTGTTTCAATTTAGTTCTTACATGCAACTTTATGAGAGTCTAATGTAAATAAAATGTGTACTAAATGGTTTCTTTTCCCTAAGACAAGGCTATTCAAAACTTCTAAAATTTCTTAATCACTACATATTTTTTACAATGCCAGAGAAGAAAATGAGAAATTATTAATTTTTAAAATTACCCAGCAATTCCATTGCATCATCTTCATTATCAATATCTTCTTCTGTTACAGATGGGGTAGGGCTGTGGATGGACTCAAAAGAATCTTGAGAGAGCATTGCAGCCAGGAGTTTCTTATGTTGCTGTTGCTGCTGTTTTAACCCTTTGTTCTTAGGCTCCATCTTTAAGCTGAAGAAATATTTAAATGTTAATTAGCTGTGATAAGTAAAGAAAATCTACAAACAAATTTCCTTTTGGTTATTTTATTACACACATATGTGGACATGTTACTAAAGTTTTCTCCAAGGATAATGGAAATATCATCTTTCTTGGACACCCATGTGTCTCGCAAAGGAATTCCCAAGTGAGTATGGGGAAACTGAAATTTGGCTCACTTAAGAGGGCAGGTGCTAATTTACTCCTACCTACTGTTGCCATGTGGAAATTAAAGTCTACTCAATGAGTCTTCTGATTTTTAAAGATGAGCTAGAAAGTCCAGATTATGAGTCCCTGATTTACAAAGCAAATGCATGTTAAGGAAAACACTTTCAATGAAATAAATACTTTAAACTATTATATTAAGATGTTTTAAAATACTCAACTTTAAATTCTTTCGCATATGTGTATATAGTTGTCTCAACACCATTTGTTAAAAAGACTATTCTCTCCCTCATTGAATTGTCTTGCTTTTATTTATAGCGCTTTTGAGTCTATTTCTTTGTATAGTTTTATTAGTGACTGCTCTTCCTGTTACAATGTGTATGTGTATTGTACCACATTCAGTAGACTGTTGTATTAGTGTCAACATTTACCACTTGGGGTGAAGTATAGATACCTTACTTCCATTTTGGACCCTTTAGTTTCCCTACTTTTAAATATTATTGAGTATCAGATGGTGTTATAATTTTTGTTTCAATACTTAAATATCATTTCTAAAACTCGTGAGGATAGTCCATTGTATATAGCAGTATTTCTGCTGTTTCTGTTTTCCTTTCTTCCTTCCTGATGTTTTGAGGTAGATACTTTCTTGCCACCGAGGTAGATTCACTGTTGCCACTCAGCTCTCCTAGCACCTTTAGTGGGGAAAGGGAGGCTCAAGTCTGGCAGGGAAGGAAAGCATGTCCCCTAACCGTTTATTGTCAGCGAGAATCGTCAATTCCCCTGGCCTATGTCTTTGGTTTCTCCTGGTGGTGTTGGGGTGGCTACTGTTCAATCAGGGGAAGAAATAACCTACATGGGCCACCTTCTGTTGTTACTTTGGGAGCAAGGAAATGCCCCTAATTCTGTCGAGTGGGGAATTGCAAGGAGCCCTGCTGCTAAGCTGTTCCTCTAGCCCTCAGGTTCCTAACCATTCCACCTTCCTCTTGACCCTTGTCACAGTTCTCTTTTGGTGCCTCTTGTTTATTTCAGGGTTTATATGGGTATGTAGTGAGGGGCAGCAGAAAGTAATTAGTCTGCGCCATCTTGTCCAAACAGAAGTGACACGACTTGTTAATTAGAAAGGGAAACTGATATCTTTACACTGGAAAAATCTGGTGGACATCACCTGCACCAAGTGATCAAACTTAGCATCACCAATAATACTGGACAAATTGACATTATGTACTTCCTAATATGATATAATAAGAAAGTACATCCCATCAACTATGTAGAATTTTTTTTTCCAAAAATGTCTAATCTGAATTTAATCAGAGAACAATCAGACAAACGCAGATTTGAGGAATTTTTTCAAGATAACTGGCCCATAGTCTTGAAGAACGTAAATGTCAGAAAAAGGAAACAAAAGGCAGAGGACTGTTGTAGATTATAGAAGACTAAAAAGACTTGACAACTGGATTCCACACATGATCCTTTATTAGGTGCTAGATAAAAAAGAAATAAACAAGTATACAAAAATCCATAAAGGACTTTACTGGAAAAATTGAAGAAATCTGAAAATGGACTTTATATTAGATAACTTTATGGTGGGATTGGTTTGATATGATGATTATATTATGGGTACATAAGAAAATAGCTTTATTCCTAAGAAATACATGCTGAAGAATAACGATTAACATTTTGTAATTTATTTTTAGATGGTCCAGCAAAAAATAGAATATGATATATGATAGATATATAGATAATAGGTCATAGACAAAATAAAGATGGTAAAATGTTGATCGGTGAATATAGGTGGAGGGTATGTGGATCTTGATATTACTACTTTTAAATGTTCTGTGGTTTGAAACTTTTAAAAGTAAAAAGGTGAGGGAAAAATTAAGAACAAATACATGAAAGCAACACATGTTAGCAATATTTATTTTAATTTTATCTTCCTTCCCAACTTAGGTTCCCAACAGAAATGGGATTGTTGCTAAGAGGTTGTAAAAATGCATCCCTTTTTAAGTAATTTTTTAATTTGACTAACCCTTGATATCATTCCAAATAATTAAAGAAAATTATGTTTACTCTTTAATAGTGGAGATAAAACATAAATATTCACTTGAAAATGGAAGGAAGTTTATTTAGCTCCAGTCTCTTGCCATGACATCTGTCCTCTGCATCATTGCATTATGTGTCTTCTAAACTGAGAACAATGTAACAATGTTAAAGTCTTCCTTGACCAACTTTATTCATTGAGAAGTAAACAAAACCAATGAAAACAAAATTTTAATTTGGATTTCTTAGCTGATAGATCTAACATGTTAAGCTGAATTAACACCTAAATTATTTTATCTTAATTAAATTCATTTAAAATACAATATTCATGTATTATTTTAGCCCCATTCGCTTTTGATTACTAGAAGGGATATAGATATTGTTTTGAATGACAATTGAACATAGTCCATCTACAAGATGAATAATTTGGGGCAAGTTAATTTTCCTTTCTTTTCCTCAGTTTCGTTATCCATAATGCAGATTACTGTAGTACTTCCAATGTATTTAATAATACAGTGGTTGGACTATTAAAAAGGGTTAATAAATGCACAACAGTCCCTGGCAAATAGCTCTATTTATGTCTGTTTAATAAATCAATTAAATTTTCCTTCATAACTTTAAATTTTATATTGTAAACTTAACAAAAGTTAATAGAATATTATACTTTATATATATTTTATGTTCTCATGTAAAAAGACAGTTATGGCTTTAAGGCAATTTTCTCCCTTAGGAGTTAAATAATAATTCACAAAGTGTAACAGTCTGAAGCAGATGTTATATGTACATTCTGACAACTGCTTCTGCTTGCTATGTACCTAAATATATATATAGGATGGTTAGATATTAAATATTTTGTGCAAAATTAATATACGCTGTATCTTGAAATGTTATTTTATATGAATAAGTATAAATCGAATGTCTATTTATAAAACATAATATAATGATTTCTAAAAGGCCAACATATCACCAAAACATGCCTACTTACAGAAAAAGAGTATATCTATCCAAATATAAACTTAGAATTTTATTTCAGGTCCATAACTGTTTTTCTAGAATCCTTGGGGCTGGATGTGTCCTGTTGCATAAACTCTATATTACATAATACCTTCCAGAGGGTCTGTGGCCTCACCCTCTTATGAAATACATCAATATTTCTCCATTATTATATATCAGCATTCCCACTGAGTGGGATAAATAATCTGCAGGGTTCAGATCAGGTTTCGCTATAATGAATTATGAAAACAACTTTGGTTTTCAGAGCATTTTGAATTTCACTATTACAGATAAGGATTGTGAGGAAAATATTTGAATAAATAACTGAGAGACGAAATCTCAAACACTGCTGTTAGTTCAAGTAAGATGGGGGCTGAGACTTGAAGTTGGAATTTCAGAAGGCAGAGGTCATTTGAATGACACTGGGTAACTTGGACAAGAGGTCATCCTGTGACATGGACAAGGTTGCTTTCAATAGGTGGTGGGAATAACATTCTATTTGGAAAAGATTGCAAAATGAGGGGTCAGTGCACACAAGTAAACTACTGTGAGGAGTTTCTCCGTAAAGTGAATGAAAGACAGAGAACAATAATAGCTGGGGCCAGGGAGGCTTCATTTTTCCGAGAGATGTTCCATCATGCCTTCATGCTGAGGGGAATGATCTAGGAGAAAGGAATGGTGCAGGGAATGAAGAGAAGTGATGAACTTACATGGGTGAGTTAGAGTAAGGATCTAGCACGGAGTGGAGGAGGTTGCCCTAGGCAGAACATGAGTGACTCACCCATAGCCATAGGGAAGAGCAGAAAACCTGAGCACAGATGAGCCAGGTGCACAGAGAGTCTGCTGGAGAAGCTTATGGAGGTTTTCTTTATGACTGCAGCTATTTTCTCTTTGAAACAGGAAACAGAGTCATTAGTTAAGAATAAGGATGGGGGGAAACGTGTTGGAGATTGGGGGACAGCAGGAAAAACGTGAAGTCATCATTGAGGAGAGTGAATATGCGAATGGCAGAGGCAGGTGCAGCTGCATCGCCAGGTAGCACTAGTGTGCCCCTGGAGTTTGGTGGTCGTGAATTCAGTGACACTGGCCAGTGTGGCCATGTGTCCTTCTCTAGCCTAGGTTGGTTCAGTCACAGAATAGGGAAACAATTAATTTAAACATGGTAGAGTTTTTCCAGGAGAGTAAAACAGGAAAAGAGGAGCAGAAGAGTTGAGGGCATATCCAAGGGACCAATTACCATGATGGGGCATAGATAAACCTGACTAAGGAGAAAAATTAAGAACAAGGTGGGTGAGAAACAATAAAACATTAGCAGTCTCAGTGTTTTGGGGGTCCCAATTAAAGCTGAGTGTCAGAGGCAATGAACCAGAAAGATGAGAGGTGCTAGTCAGAAAGTGAGGTGCCTAATACTGATATCATGGATTTGCAGATAATGAGAATGAGAAGGTCTAGGATATGACAGAGGGAGTGATGGGGGAGGTAGGGTGGAATTCAAGATACGTGGCAAAGAGTAGGCAAAGGAAGTGAGAGGCCAGGTTTGGGGAAGGATTACCGATGATATTGACGCTGACTTCACCAACGCAGCCAAGCTACTGGGGAGAGTTACAGGAGCTGGATGTTTGAATATTCAGAGAAAGGGGAATGACTGACAGTTAGCAAATTATTGCTAGAAGATGATGTGGGAAATTAACACACTGGGAAATTCAGAACAAGATGCAGAACTGGGGATTGTTTTAGGGAGGAGACAGCAAGATCTGGAAGCAGCAGAGGATAAAGGA